CTAAATTTATATGTATTGAAAAAATAAGAACTTTATGTAAAATCCTACCGGGTCATGTGAGGAGGTGATTTTCAAAACGCAGTTTTTGAAACATAACACATTTTGAGATTATTACGTAATAATCATATGTGAAAAATTGTTGGTGCTATTAAGATAATAATAATAATTAAGTGTATTAATCACCTGACATTAGAAAATATTGTTTGTGGTATTTTGTTTAAAACATTTTTGAATACGAAAGAAATGCGTTTTGCATACCAAAATCGAAAACTGCGTTTTGAAAATCAACTCCTCATGTAATGGTGAGGTTAAATTTTTTTTATATAATATGTCATTCGTTTGATACTCAATTTATAAAAATAAATTACTGACGAGTTGAACATAATCAGGTGAGATGACGCACTGCTCATTATAGCACAATAATTGTTCATAGAGTATATTTGGTAACACCGGTGATTCTTATTATGTCATCACATATATACGTATCAAATACAGTTATATTTGAGTAGTGTTAGTGACGGTATTTATTGAGATTACACTAAATAACGAGCGTTCAAATAAAAACGTGGTCGAAGTTGGCTCTGACACATTGGACGTAGGGAGTAGCTTATAGCGACCAACTTAACCTCATTTCTCAACGAACTGTATAGCAGCTGTCAGTTTCAATAACGTTAATGACTATATAACTTTATTTTAAAGAATAATCGTGATAACAATAACAAACAATTAAAGGAGCTGCGGAAAGTGTCCCCCTCCTTGTTATAACAATAAATTAAAGCAGCTGCTGAAAGTGTCCCCCTCCTTGTTCCAAGCACTTTTCACACCTGTTCCTCAAAGAATTAAAGACATTTTCTAAGATGCTCGGGGTATTGTTAATTTCACGAATCTTGTCTATAAGTCGAGCCTGCAGATGGTTTAAATCAGGAATAGGCAGTTCAAAAATAGTGTTTTTAAGGTAAGGCCACAAAAAGAAATCACACGGCGTAATATCACATGACCTCGGTGGAAATTCATGTTCAGCATTGAGACTTATTAGTCGATTTTGGAAAACTTCCCTCAACATATTCATCGTCTCGCCTGCCGTATGTGCCCTTGCGCCATCTTGTTGAAAGTAAAAGTTTGTAATTTCGTTTTCTTCCAGCTGGTTAACAAAAGGAGCGATAATTTCTTCTCTATACCTTTGCGCAGTAAGAGTACCATTAAAAAAAATAGGTCCATAAATCCTCCTTCGATTGAGAGCACACCAAACTCCAATTTTTTGAGCGTGTAGAGGGCCCTCGACAAAAAAGTTATCTGGTTTTTCAGAAGACCACATTCTCATATTCTGTGAGTTTACGTAACCACTTAAATGAAACCAGGCTTCATCAGAAAAAAAGGTGATATTATGAAGTTCACCGTAGTTGTTTAAAAACCATTCACAAAATACAGCCCGTCGCGGAAAATCAACTTCATGAAGTTCTTGCTGACAAGTTAAACGATAGGAGAACAAACGCAAATCTTTTTTTAACACTGTGTGGCAGGTACCGACTGATACTCCCACCATTTGTGATAAAACACGTACAGAAGTTCTTGGCGCATTTTCCATTATTTGTTGGACATTTTCTTTTAATTCTTCAGTCCGCTTTTTAGGTCGGCCGCTTCCTTCTTTTCTTGTTACACTGCCCGTTTCACGAAAAACATTAACACAACGCTGAACTGCACTTTGAAAAATTTTGTACTCAACAACGCCGGGAAATTGATTTTGAAATTCTATGAAACATTCCTCAATAGAATACTTCCATATTCCATCAATCTTGCGTCCATTTCTAAAGTAGGACTCTATGATAAACACTTTTTGTTCTTGAGAAAACACCATTTTAAACGCTTTTTAAAACGAAAATATTCAAATTGATAGCGGCGATATAGCGCTTTGACAGATGACGTTTAAGTTCATTTGCTATACGCTACGCCCTACGTCCAAATTTTCAGAACCAACTTGACCACGTTTTTATTTGAACGCTCGTTAATTTTACATCGTTTAAAGTAAGAAAATATACAAGTACGTTAAATTATATTTTTATTAAGTTTTCAAGGATTTTGTTGTAGATAATGAGTAGTTAAGTAGTTCTAACCTCAATTTCACACATTTCCTTTAATGAATTTTGTTAACTCACTTTATACTGTAAGGTGAGTTGACGCACGTACGCGTAAGGAGAGTTGGCACAATGATAGACACATCATTTAAAATTTTATTTTGTCAGAAATGTTATTAATTTATCATTTATAGCATACCGACGGAATATAAAAGAAAAGGAAAAGTTAGAAGAGGAGAGCGGACAATAGAACAGTTGTCTAGAGCAATCAGTGCTATCGATAGAGATGAGATGGGTGAGGGTGAGGCAGGTCGCGAATGCGGTAGCCGCGAATGCACTTTGCGACATCGAAGGAAATGTGAAGACCTGAACTAAACCGATTGGACCTTTAAGTACACTAGGAGCCCACAATAAGATAAATTAGTAGAGCAACATTTGAAAAAACATGAATTTGCATCTATGAGATCCTTTGTGAGCCTTATGGCTTTTGAGTTGACAGAAAAATTAGAATTACCATACAATTTCGCAAGGCAGGCTATGTATGCATGGCTTGATTTTTTTTAAGAAGAAATAAAGACCAATATGAAAACAATTATGTTTTTGTTCAGAGTATAATATGCTTCTTTGTCTAACTACAATAATGAGTATTTCTATTTATTATTATTAGAAAATTTCAAAATAAACCGAAAGTAAATTATATGAAGTTTTAATACAAATTTATGAAAAAATAAAAATGTGCCATCGTTTATCTCCCCTCCATACCTAAAGTGAGATGACGCAGTCATAAGAAAAATAAAATGTTAGTTTTTACCAAAATCTCCGACATTTTGTCATATTTGAAGTCATATATTATAACTTATTAAGCTCCTTTAACGCAATCTGAAGTTTTGCTCTTTATTTTCAATTTCACATATGTTTTACAATTATTTTAAAAAATGTGCGTCATCTTCCCTAGATTTACCCAATAATTAAATGGATATAAGTAAACATTTTTATATTATTTTGTCAAAAACATAATTGTTAATGGATCAGCTGCCCATAGAAATAATTTTATGGTACTTAGTAATCATATTTCAGAGGATGACAAACAAGATATGATGCAATGACGTCACGAAATGGTCGATTTAATACCAAGGAATAATAAAAGTATTATATTAAATAAATACATTTTCAGACATTATGATCCCCAGAAATTATTACATCACTAACTACAGGTGTTTTAAAAAAATATATCGACCGTACAATACTGCAAATAGGGATTTGAGTGAAGTGTGAAGTGTACAGTGTAACAATTATTAAATTGTTCTTTTAGAATTGAATTTTATTGATTTTTTTCTTTGTTTTTTATCTTAGCCGACTAATCTAGTTGAGCGGTGTTAAAGTTCGAATCCTATAAAGTGAGGAGGGAGCTACCACCGCCCTAGCTGGTGTTCTGCCAGGGAAATCGCCTCTCTTTGGAGGGTAGATGTCGCAGCCCTTAGAAAAAGGTTTGGGATCCATGCTGTAACAGAAACGGTGCCAATACAAGGAAACGTTTATTAAAAAAATTCTTTTGTCTGCTATAAAACAAAATATAACAATATAATTACAACTCCCGTCGGCGTCGGTCCAAAGTAGTGGCGCCCTAGATTACATAAATCTTCTTACCTTTCGCCTCTATCTATAGGTTCGGAAAGTCCCCATGGTTCATCGGCCGTTACGTGAGAGCGATAAAGTCATAGATATCCGTGCGATAGAGAAGGATGGCTATAATGAAGGCGTCTCGCAGTCACCGCCCGTTTCACCCTTCCACAAATAAGATCCACTTCCACTTGTAATTCAGCGATCGGTGCTCATCTTTGTTTTCGTCGTTTGCCTTTTCTGTAATAGATGTCACTACTTATACAATTCCCACTTCGTATTCCGGTATGTTAATACAATCCGTTAACAGAGGATAGCACAATTTGTCTAAGGTGAGGCCCTAGAAAGAGTGATGCCAGATCTACATATTTTTTTGGAATTGAGGAATTTTGCTTTATTTCTTGGGATTCTTAAGTCATTTTAAAAAGTATACTTAAATAACAACTAAATGAACTTTAAATGCAGCTGAGCACTATACTCCATTTGAAAAACTTCTCAGTAGGGGAAACAAGGTCACTAGATTTACAAACAGAGGTATCTACTAGCTACTATAAAAAGTTTTCTTCGTTACGCGTTGTGCTGCCCTCTGTTAACGGATTGTATTAACATATCGGAATACCAAAGTCGAAATTGTATAAGTAGTGACATCTATTAAAGAAATGCAAACGACGAAAACAAAGATGACCACCGGTCGCTGAATTACAAGTGGAAGTGGATCTTATTTGTGGAAGGGCTAAACGGGCGGTGACTATGAGACGCCTTCATTATAGCCATCCTTCTCTATCGCACGCATTTCTATGACTTACTTTATCGCTCTCACGTAACGGCCGATGAACCATGGGGACTTTCCGACCCTGTATATGGATTAAAAATTACCTTCCTGAGATCAACTTTACATTTCATTAATGATGTATTTTCTAACTTCTCTAGGTCACGTCAATTTAGGGTTTATCTCTCGGTATTCACCATCACCTAATTATTTTTTTTTGTATGGGAATATTTCCCTCGAATGCGACGGCTCTCGGCTGTACTTCTGACTTCCGACGACCGACTCCCCGGTGTTTCTCCCGCTTGCTCCCCTCTAGCATTTTCCTGATTCAGCATTCGTACGACTCTAAGTATACCAGGTGTTACAACAGGTTAGAATTTGAAAATATTTTTTCAATCACTCAAAATAATTTTAGCTTTGTGTTCAGCACTTTCGAAAATAGGGAGTAGGCAATATTTTACGTCTTTCTGAGAGTTTTATGTAACAGCAAATAAATACTGTTATTTTTAATGCATATCAAGTTACTGTTTTTGTTCTAGGAAGAAAAGACATAGTAAAGTTATTACTAACTAAAAACGCAGAAGTGGACCACAAAACGAAGTCCGGAGACACACCTTTAACATTAGCCAGTTCACAAGGGTTCAATGAAGTAATCCAACTATTACTAACTAAAAATCAAGATCTGGAACGGGTAAATAACAATGACGACACCGCAATGACCATAGCCAGCTCCAAGGGATTCAAAGAAGTGGTAGAACTCCTCCTGTCGGAAAAAGCTGACGTGAACCACATAAACAAAAACGGGGATACGCCCCTGACTCTGGCAAGCGGCAACGGCTTCAAGGAAGTTGCTGAGCTCCTGGCACAAAGCAAGGCTAATATTGATCAAGAAAACAATGCTGGATACACCGGTTTAATGGTGGCGGCTGAAAAAGGATTTGATGAAGTGGTTGAATTGTTATTGGCAAAGGGGGCCGACACCGAGCGCAAGAACGCGAAGAGCGAAACGGCTATTATGTTGGCGGCAAGAAAGGGTTTCAGCGAAGTGGTTAAACTGTTGTTATTGGGACAGGCTGACACCGAGCTAAGGAACGTCTATGGGGACACTGCCCTGGCGCTGGCCAGCGAAAAAGGTAATTACTTATTCATAAAAAGTATCTGTCACAGTTTTATTTTGCCCCTATACAACTGTTTATTAAATTCACGACTAACGCGGTTGTTAGTATGCAACCAGCTACACTATCAGGTGCTTCACTGGCTGCAGGTCTTATTTTCGTAAAGATTGACGATAGGATAGACTGTGAAAAGTCATTCGATTTTGGGAACGTTGATTTGAGGTTGTTGTGTTTTTTTAAACGTGTGGTGAAATTTAGTTTTATTTTAAACATCCTTTGAGGGATTTATCACCTGCGTTGAAGAAAGTGATTCAATTTTGTGGATTGTTCTGTGAATAGAATTTTGGTGTTTTGTTGAGGATTATTTCCCGTTTCTGGGTTTCTTTTATACAATAGCGAGGTTATGTCGATGGCCACGTTCCAGTCAGTGTTGAATGCCGTCTGACGTTGTCTGGATTGTTTGTCCTGGCAGTGGATTAACTGCATTTTGACCGAAAGCCTGTCCGCTTCGGCATTTAAAGGAAAAAAACCCTTAGTAAAAAGGTACAGATTTTCTCCATTTTATACTTATTTTGCAAGTTATCTTCGCCCTGCAAACTTCCTTGTCTTTCGCTAGGCACACATGTGATTGCCTCTTGTCCAGTGGCGTGCCAGTTGTTTTTCGTCTTGGTGTGGTTTATTTCGGAGCTAGGAAATCAGCTAACATCCATTTGGCTACACTGTCCCTCTCAGCTTGGTCGGATGGACTCCTAGGGCTTCTTACCTTCGTCAACTATTGAGGCCTCCATCGAAAGTTTACCACTGCACAGTAGATACCGTGACAATCATTAAATTTAACTGATATTATACTAGATAGTAGTATTTGGTAGTGTTCAGGAACATTTAGTAGTTAAGTCTGTATTTGTTTAACCGATTCTTTTGATAACTTGTGTTATAAGTTTGTTCGGGAAATATACCGAGTGTACATTATTAGCTTTACCACTCAGGCACGACCTATATGTTATAGTGGGTTGACGTACGTCCACGTACATTCTTTATTGTTCATATATTTGTGGGGATCTGTTTAGGCATAAGTTGGCATATGTAGTCGCCCATTTACTGTCAACCACTTGTAGCTACAACTGGGGAAGGGTGCACTTCCATAAGTGGAGCGTCACTCCGTTTACTATTATAGACCATACTGCAGCGGCCTTCAGCCGTCTCTCTCTCTAATTGTAAAATTTTACCACCCGCTATACAACCCAGTGAATATACCTAGTAATATTAAAAAATCGGAGTTTTATTGCACCTTAGGCTAAGAGAAGAATACTCCTAAACTAACTTTCAGCTCTTATTTGTGTGCTTTGTTTCGTGTGTAACAGCTGGACTTTTCCCTGGGCAATTTAACGACCCTTTTTTTGTTTACGAACTTGGAGCTAGTCCGCACTAGGCCGCTTGGGCCGACCTTAGTGAGAACTGAGTATTTTTGCTACTTACTATTGCCCAGCGTTGTAACTCATACCTCGGTCAGGGGATGTGGTAGCAAATCTTTGTAGGGTGGCGACTTAACCCTTTCAATGGACAAATAAATGTCCACGAGTGTGATAGTCTAGAGTTCTATATAAGACAAACATGCAAAATAATAGTTATATAAGATAGTGTCAAAAGTACTTCTTTACTGCACAAGGGTGTAGATAAAAGGCAGCATTGGTGTACAAATATTCGAAAGATTGGTGTATCTTGAAAATGAAGGAATAAGAATTTATTCCTTGCTAATCCTTCAAAAAGGGCAAATAATATAAAACCGTCATGTTTTTAGTCGGAATATTCCAAAGTGTAGCTGAAAAAATATTTTCTAATCTTAGATTCTAGCAATGGCATTGCTAGAATCTAAAAGGGAAGAGTTACATAAAAGGAGTGTAAAGACGCAGGTAATAATAGTGAAAATTTCAAATTCAAAAACCAACCAACCTCCAGCTTTTATTATATTCAAGCTTTCGTGCTCTCTCTCATAAGGCATTAATTGCACTATATCAGATTTGACATCTCCTTCCACTTTTTTATCCCTGTTTTTAAACCCTTTTATCAACCAGACGTCACACACATGCCTCCAACATACCACAATGGGAATGTATAATTTTGCATAATCATAATAATATGGGCGTGACATATTTTCGTGTTTTTACTCAATTATTATATAAAAGCATCAGAACAAAGCAGTGCATTTTCAATTATATTCGTGCGGTTTTCCCGGAATGAGGATTGTGAATAATCATACTGCAAAATGAAAGTAGGGGAGGAGAACACTTTTGCCCATATGGAGTTCCACTGTGATGTGTTATAATTGTAAATATCTCTACACAGGATGTACCAAAATAATACCATCAAACTTGAAGGGAGTATTATTCCGGGTTTTCCTAAATAAGTGTCGCAACGGAAAACTGTAAATTCCTCTTGAAAAAAAACAAAACATTTTTTCCCTCTTCCATTTTTCTCTCCGGTCTTTCTGTAGCCGGCTTGCCTCTGGAGCTGGATTTCCTTTCATTCTTGAAGCCGGACCTGTAACACACTTATTATCTATATTGTCTACAAGTTTACAAGATTACAAGTCCTGCTCCGCTCCTTGTCAGGGCGTGTTCCAGTGGCCAATTTCCCCTATTTTGTTTTTAATTATCATTTGTCCCTTTTTCAGCCGTCATGTTTGCGTCTGGATCGCACGCACCCTTACATAAATTTTACTCGCCAAATTGATAAAAAAAAGTTAAAATCCTATCAGTTGTTAAATTTCCTTAAAATTGTTAATTATTACTACCTATTTTTTGAATTACAACGGATTTTCGAAATGTTAGCAAAATGTTTGTTTTTGTTCATAAAAAGTCATTTTTCTTGAAAACGGTTGACTGTGTAAAATTCATTGCTGCTTTACAATTTGCTGTCAAATGTTAATTTTTCCAGTGGCGTAAAAGTTAGGCGGAAAAACCCTTACGATACCTTTAAATCTCCACCACTGGCACGTCCTATGAATTCGAGAAGGGTGAGAAAAAGTAGCTATTAATAGTGGTAACGAAAACGAAAGCCCGGAGGGAAAAATGGAAGAGGAAAATAATGTTTCTTTTTTCAAGAGGACAATTTTCCGTTGCGATACTTATTTAGGAACACTCTGTATAGCACAAAACAACAAAAAAGTTTCTATAACCATATGTTCGTAAATATTTGTTTATTGAGATGTACTAAAAATTTTAGAGATCAAATTGGCTTATGCCACTAATTCAAAATTAAGTCACCTTAGAAATATGTGTCAAAGATTTGACATTGTCTTGCTGCCAAATAAAGTAAGTTGTCAGAACAATAATAGTGGTGTTTCGGTGTTGAAATTACTGAATTTATATTCCATGAGTATGCTGATATATGCATTTAATTAATGGAAAATCAAGAGGTAATGCGGGTGCAGCTATTCGACTGTATGCAGATCGAGATTCTATAAGAGATTACCACTATTGCTGTTTACCAACGTTTATGGGGAAATGGTTCATTTAAAACGCGTAGAAACTCTGGGTGACATCGTGCTGTACTGCAAGAACAAAGATCTTAATATGGTTAAAGGAAATTCTAGCCTCAGCACAAAACGTATGTACGACGCTTTAGGTATTTCACATGTGCGAGTGTAGCTAACTTTTCGAGATTAGTCACTCGCTGTATCCTTTCTACCTTCAAAAAGTGCAGCAAACGGAACCAGAAGATTGTTCTCGAAGAGTAAACTTTTGTCAGTGGTTAATACAAAGACATACAAAGGATATAATTTTTTTAACAACTATTTTATCCACTAACGAGGCAAGTATAAGTCAGCACAACTCGCATATCCAAAAGCAACATGAACTGCAAATCGCCAACACCAGTTTTCGACAAACGTGTGATTTGGAATCGTACATGACGAGATCGTTGAGCCGCTGCAACTCCTTCAGAGACACCGGGGCATGGAATTTACGGTTTATATCTGGAGAGATAGAAACTTTTACTAGAAAAAGTACCATACGACATATGTATGTACGACAAAATATGTGATTTCTCCATTCTAGGGCACCAATGCATTCTGTCCATGCAAGATGACTCGCTTGGTCTCCTGATCTAAATCCACTAGATTTTTATGTTTGGGGTCATCTAACACGTGTTGTTTAGGCGGAGGATACACCATATATGAATTATGGGAGCGGGTAGAGGTAGCTTGCAATGAAATACATAACAACTCCGGAATATTTGAATCCGTGAGAACGTAGATTTTGAGAAGAGCTGAATGTTGTGTATGGGAGGGCGGTTCACATTTTGGTAGGTAAGTATGTTGTAGATGCCAATGTGTTAATGTTAGCGGTGTATATGCATTTATGTTAATTTTCATTTTGTTACATAAATTATGGTATCTTTATTTATCTGCATCTCAGAAGGCAAGCGTTTACAGACGTTTCATAGAGACCCTCTTTCTCGTTCTATGTTGTAGGGAGTTTTCTTCCAGGTTTAATGATTATATCTTCTTACACCTTGTATTTAAATATTCGCATACATTCAAATAAATGTATTACTTTCAAATCGTAATATTACTTTTTTATATTCCAGTGCGTAATACTTGGAAGTGGCTCATTCTGGAAATGCAGATCCTTGCGACGGGTAGGGCGTGTGGAGAATGGGCTTCCAATTATTAAGTATTAAGTCAAACAAATAAGGATGTCCATTTTGGTAAAAATTAAATTATCCTTACAAATTTACGCCCACTTTTTCCCTGCGAAAATTATGTTTACGAGTATGTAGTGTTGTAAAAGTAAGGCGACACAAAATCAGTATTAAAGAAAACATTGAAAAAAATGATAAGCACTACCGACAACGATCGACAGAATAAACAGTATAATCACTATTAACTATTGTCGCTATCACTATCATTGTTACTAAGGCTATCACTTCTATCGCCTATGAGAAGCGGGTCTACAAGTATTGTAGCATCATCTCTTGTACTGAGGTTTCACATTCATTGGTTTTCCTTTTGTAATATTGCACTTATGTAATAATGCACTTATGTCTCCGCAGTTGGTATGTAATAATGCACTTATGTCTCCGCAGTTATCCGCTTAATCGCCTTCTGCAGAACTACTCTTTCATCTATGGAGTCCAGCGCACAGTGGTATGGTGGCAATAGAGAAAGTGTTACTTCGCGAGCTTTAGCTATATCACCCACTACATATTTCATGTACTTGGCTTTTCCTTGTGTGCATTTCTTCCACTCAATAATTTCAAGATTTCCTCTTTTCTCCATATTATCACGAATTTTCAAAATCCCCGTCTATCAAATTTGGCGCGAATCTGTTATTTTTTGAAAATTTGGTCAGCCATCTTAGGTTCGCCATCTTGAATTTTGCAAAATTAACCTCGGATCCGTGATCCAAATTTGGCGCGAATCTATTAAGTATTCTTTGAAAATTAATTGAATGTCTGACCTTAATTGGCCCGTTTTTTTTTTGCCTTTAGAAAAAGAACCATCAATTCTGACCGCGGATTCACGTTCGGTGAGATCTTAACCATATAAGTCAATGAACGTTTGAATATAGAAAAAAATTTTTTTTTGTATTTTTCCTATCACTCTCGTGAATTTTTGCTATTTTTGATCTATTTTTTTGAGGTTAGAAAATTCCTGTAATGATAGCTCAATTCTGACACCGGGTTCGTGATCAGGAGGTAAAAATACTACGGATAACATATCAAGACAACAGCCTCTGGAAAACGCAGAGGGCCCTGCGACAGACCGCTCGCGCTAAAATTCCCCCAATCCACGGCAGCAGAGGGGAGGTTTACACGAACCAGGAAAAGGCCGAGGCTTTTGCCGACAGCCTGGAACTGCAGTGTAGAATGCCTCAGCTGCCCGACGAGGACGAGGAATTCGAAATAGTGGCTAAGCGCGCGGCCCGACGCGTCGACAGAGAGCCAGACAATGACATAATCCCTAGACTTAAAAACAGAAAAGCCCCCGGACCCGACAATATACATAACACGACACTTAAACGACTATCACACAAGGGCCTCATGGCCCTACTAAACATAACAAACGCGACACTCAGACTAAGACACTTCCCTACCCGCTGGAAAACAGCAAACATAATCCTTATCCCAAAACCCAACAAAGACCACACCTTCCCATCCAACTACCGGCCCATTAGCCTGCTCCCGGCTATGAGCAAAGTGGTAGAAAAAATCATCCTAACCCGCCTAAAAACCCACTCCCAAGAACTGCGAGTCATTCCTGACGAGCAGTTCGCCTTCCGACCCAATCACTCCACCGAACTCCAAATCCTTCGCCTTACCGAGCACATCACGGCGGCCTTCAACAGGGGGCAGTACACTGGTGCTGTCTTCCTGGACGTCGCAAAGGCCCTCGATACGGTTTGGCATGAAGGCCTACTGATGAAAATGCTCACTAACCAATATCCCATATCCTTTACCAAACTCATAAAATCCTACCTACACCACCGAAAATTCCGCATGCAAATCCAAGACTCCCTTTCCAGTACCCGTCCCATGGAGGCCGGTGTCCCCCAGGGCACCGTCCTCTCCCCACACCTGTACACCATTTACAACTCCGACATCCCACATCCCCCCAACACCAACATATATCTATACGCCGACGACCTGACCATCACTTCCCAATCCGTTAATCCTAGATATTCCGCCTCCCTCCTCCAAAACTCCCTAGACCAACTTGAAACCTGGTGCAACAGGTGGAAAGTCAAAATTAATCCCAACAAAAGTTCGGCTATCCTTTTTACCAAACGAAAAATTCCACAAAACCTCGACAGACTGACACTATCACAGGAGCCCATCTCCTGGGAACGACAAACACGATACCTGGGCGTGACGATGGACCAGCGTCTCACGTGGAAACCGCACATCGTGGAGACGGTGGCGCAAGCGAAGACCATCAGGGCTAGGCTCTATCCCTTACTCAAAGGTGGAAACACCCTCAGTTTAAGGAATAAGCGAACGCTTATCAAGGTGGTACTTCAACCGCAGCTAACCTACGCCTCCACGGCGTGGGGTCACGCGGCAAAAAGCGATTTGAAGTCACTACAGGCTGTGGAAAACATAGCCCTCCGCACGGCCACCGACGCGCCCTGGTACGTAAGAAACACTGACATATTACGAGACTTACAATACACAAACGCTACACAGACAATAAGACAAAACGCGGAGAAACGATTTGACGTAGCCGCTAGACATGACAATCCCCTCCTCAGGCAAGCCGTTGACTACGTACCCGACATGACCGACAAACACAAAAGACCTAGACACCAACTTTTTGACCCTGGGTGACCACCCCAGACATCCCCCCCCCTGCCCGCTAACCTTTTCTGTTTCAGAAACCGCCAGGATCAAGAAACAAAGACGACGACAGACACACACACATACACACCCCCCCATACCCTCCTTACCCCTCCCCTCCCGCGCTAGCCTAAGGGCCACCTTAGCAAAGCGCATCCCAGGCTGCATAGCCGCACTACCCTAGAAATAATCCCCCTCGATCCCAAATCATTGAGGCCAATTTCTAGCCATAGAATAATGGCGCGGATATCATATGTCGCATGAAAAGACATTTTTTTTGTGTGACTGTGTTTACTCACATGGTGCCAAACCTTGGAAACTGTGAATCTTTCATTTACGTTTCGTGGAAATAGTAAATGTTAGTCTTTGATGTACGACACCCTCTTATTTTTTATAAATCTAAAGTCTCTTTGTCATACTATAATTTCGTTCTTTTCTATTAGAATGCTTTTTGATTTCGTTTTTAAGTAACGAAAATACGTAGTAAAACTTTTAGGCTAATCCTCGTCTTCTGTGACTGCAGATTAAATCTATGAATCTTTCTACGGATCTCTTATTATACACCATTCTCAATTTGAATATTTACCTGCTCTTTTATACTTTGGTCACATTTCAAAGATGAACACTTCTCACAGACACTTTTAGTTTGTTAATAAACTTCAATAAACCAAAAAAAATCTTATCATAATGAAGAAAAAGTTATAATATATTCATTACATGTTATATTGCTGCGACATAATTCACGAGTGTATCCGTATCTCGTGCTCAAATATCCATATACAATGATTTTGGTCTATCAAAATTCGGTGGTTTGTTACTCTAATTATATAATTGGTCACTATTACCCGCACATGATTCCGTTTTTAAGAACACATATTAGGTATATAACTAAAATGTGAAAATAATACGTCTTTAATATTTGTATGCTTATGACACGCAGTGACGAGCTTGGAAACTAAAACAGGAGGGAAGTTTAAGAAGTCAAATCATCAATCAAACCTCAGTCATCTGTCCTTTTATACACAATAAAAGAAGATATAAATAGGCGCTTGTAACGTTCCAAATGTACGCACATTATTGGAACACTATGTGAAATGAACGGCACGTTACAATTTCCATGCAGATAATATAACACTGCTTCAGCAGGTGAAGAAGTAGTAAAAATTGTTTGATTTTGGCACTGGAAAATATTTTTTTCTGCCATCCATGTTTGTTGGAATGGAAAATTAAATGTTTCTTCATCTTTAAAAACATTTTTATCTTTAAATATATTCATACTCTTTTTCTTTCAGGTTTCACCCAAGTTGTTGATCAACAAATCTCGAACAACGCCAACATTGAATCGCAAAATAAATTCAACGACACTTCGCTGACAATAGCTTCCTTCAACGGATATGACGAAGTGGTCAAACTGTTCTTAAACAAAGGCGCTAACCTTGAACACTGGAATCAATTCGGAGATACCGCATTAACACTTGCAAGCTACAAAGGATTTTCTCGAGTTGTCGACTTGCTGCTACAGAAAAACGCCGCTATCGAACACATGAATAAACAACAAAACACCGCCTTGAACAGAGTCAGCTGGAATGGTAAACACGTAGTAGCGTTGCTCTAGAAAAAAATGCCTACTTGAATCATACTAATAAAGGAGACTCTGCCCTTATCTTGACCAGTAAAAGAGGCTTCAAGCTAGTCGTATATTTTAAACAAAAACGCCTACGTCGACCAAGCTAATGATGGAGGCGACACGGCTCTCACCCTAGCTAGCAAGATGGGTTTCGCCGAAGTTGTTGCCTTATTAATATTGAAAAACGCCAATATCGATCACGGTAACAAGAATAGGGAGACGCCGCTGATATTAGCGGGCGGGTATATAGACGTCGTTAAGGCGTTGTTGTCGAAGAATGCAAATATTAACGCCGCAAACAATGGCGGAGATACTGCTTTGCTGGTAGCTAGCAATAAGGGGTACAAGGACATAGTGGAGGCTCTGCTGGAAAAACAGCCCGATCTGGAACATGAAAACAAGTACGGAAACACGGCTCTGATTTTAGCCTGCTATAGGGGGTTCGTGGACGTAGCTGAGCTGCTTTTGAGAAAAAATGCCTCGGCGGATCACGTCAATAAGTTTGGTAACACCGCCTTGACGAGGGCCTGTTGGAGTGGAAAATATGAAGTTGTAAATTTGTTGTTGAAAAATGGGGCGGATATCGAACACGTCGATTCTAAGGGAGATACGGCTCTTATACTGGCGCACTATAATCCATTTGGACTTAGGTATGGACAAAATTAAGTAGCGCCTCGTAGAAAAAATATAAAAAAAAACAAAAAATAGCGTTTTAAAGCTTAAGAGGAACAGATTACGGGAAAAATAATCATATTTCACCAGCACCGCGTTTACACCATCAAAATTGAGACCCAAAATTATAATTTTGGAAAAAATTTACATTTTTTTGCTCTCTTGTTTGAAAAAAAAAATCACAAATGATACAAAACATTTTTTTATAGTTTTTGAGATGAGGAATAAGGATCCATTGTTTAAATTAAGCTAAAAAAATTTAGAACCCTTAAATTTACGAATATTTCAGTTTATGATGTTTTTAGCTCTGATTTCCGCTCTTATGCATCGATTTGCTTGAAATTTCGAAAGTAGGTGGGGAATAGCTCAAGAAATAAAATACATCCTATGCTGATATGTATTTTTACCCTGGGTTGGTTTCTACCCCTTTGTAGGGGTTGAAAATAAATTTTGCCAAAATAATCCCGGAAATCGATAGAGTAACTAATTTGAAGCAAAAAATTTGTCATACAATTTTTTTGATAAACCAATACTTTTTTAGTTATTTGCGATTAAAAACTCAATTTTTCAATTGAATATTTTAGTTTTCAGTCGCGCAAATAACTCAAAAAGTATTGGTTTATCAAAAAAATTGTATTGTATTTCTTGTTTCAAATTAGTTGCTCTATCGATTTTCGGGATTATTTTGACAAAATTTATTTTTAACCCTACAAAGGGGTAGAAACCACCCCCAGGGTAAAAATATATATCAGCATGGGTGTATTTTGTTTGTCGAGCTATTCCCCACCTACTTTCCAAATTTCAAGCAAATCGATGCATAAGAGCGGAAATCAGAGTTAAATACATCATAAACTGAAATATTCGTAAATTTAAGGGTTCTAAATTTTTTAGTTCAATTTAGACAATGGATCCTTATTCCTCATCTCAAAAACTATAAAAAAATGTTATGTATCAATTAAAAAAAAATTTTGCAAACGAGAGAGCAAAAAAATTTAATTTTTTTCAAAATTATAATATTGGGGCTCAATTTTGAGGGTGTAAATGCGGTGCTGGTGAAATGTGATAATTTTTCCCGTAATCTGTTCCTCTTAAGCTTTAAAACGCTATTTTTTGTTTTTTTTTATCTTTTTTCTACGAGGCGCTACTTAATTTTGTCCATACCTAAGTCCAAATGAATTATAGTGTGGCGTCGCGGCAAGGACATCTCGATATTGTTAGGTTATTGTTGTTCAGGTGCGAACAAATCTCGTAAGAATAATGAGGGAAATACTGCGCTTGACGAGGCTGGTAAAAATGGATACAATCAAATAGCAGCAGAATTGTCTAAATAGGACGGAAGTATTTCCAATATTTTAAAAATATTACAAATAAAAATATTAAAAAATATGGAGCTTAAAACGTAATAATTATTTTGCCAGAACTAATATCAGATACTTTTAAAAAATATTTCAGTGTCAGTATGTTTAAAATCTTATATATATATATAAGTTTTAATGAATATAGAATTGTTTTTATAGATTAGCTATATATTGAATTAAATTATACAGGGTGATTCACAACTTATCCAAAAAAATTTGGGAATAGATGTGGCATGAGAAATGGAGTCAATATTGTAAAAAAAATTTTGTAAAATGCTTATAGTTTATGAGAAAAAAATTATTGAAGTTATAGCACATTAAACCACTACATAGCTGGACAACTGTAGTCTCTAGCGTCATTCGCAATACGCGTGGAGAGCCATGTGACTCCTAATACTGAAATCCGTCGTTGGGGTAGTTTTTACCTGTTATCTGTGGTATTTACATCAGTTTTTTAGTAGTTAGTGGCAAAAATGGCTTGCGTGTATAGCAACTCAGAGTTGATGGATATCATTTTAATTTATGGTGAAGCAAGACAACATTTGTATTATGGTGAAGTATTTGTGTTATGGTGAAGCAAGACGTCATTTGTGTTAGTTCGTAGAAAGCGAGTACTGACCCAAATGTGTTTACACGTGAGTGGATAAAATTTTGAAAAATTGCTGTTGCAGCATCGGGTATGTCAAATGATTTTATAATTTAAAAACACAAATTAATTTTATTAATAATTAATAAAGGCAAAAGCATTTGCATTTGAATTTGCCGATATAAAATAGGTGCGATAAAATTCTATTTACATATTTCTTTCCTTGCGAAAGTTTTTGTCCGTTTTTATCACGCCGCCATACCGGTCGCATTGTGCGAGGTCAGGTTTTACAGTGGACCAGTTTCCAGTGCCGTGCAGAAGTGTATTTTTAAATCAATTTCGAACTGACCTTTTTAATTTTTTCTTTACAAAATTGTATTTGTAAGGGTCCCCTGTACCTCCAGAATTTTTTTTTGGATAAATTCTGAATCACCCTGTATAAATAAAGAATAAGAAAATGATTTTAAAATATTTATTTAGACATTAATGGAATTTGGTTTGAACCTTAATAGTCCAACCAAATTACACTTGGAGAAAAAAAAATTGTTACCCGGACATTTATACGAGGAAATGGTAAAAGGGCTTATAGTAAACCTAAAAAAAATAAATGCGTGAGCAGGGGCGGCGGTGGGTTAATTTGGGGAGTTTGTTTTGAAAAATTGTATCATTGGGATTTCTGGCGAAAGTTGACATCAAACAAAAAAGTATCCAATACAAAAGTTGTAGATCACACAAAAATCTACAACTTTTGTAGCGGTAGTTTTTTACATAACCTCAAAATTTCCGAGAAAATTGCGAAAAACAGTTTTTTTTTCTGATTTTTCGTTTTTTATTTCTCATTTCCGCAATAATAATTTAATTTTGACGAAACTTGGAAAAAATCAGGAATTATTATTATTATTATTATTATTATTATTATTATTATTATTATTATTATTATTATTATTATTATTTTTATTTTCATCAACTGCGAGTTGCTATACACGTAAGCCGTTTTTGAAAAATTAATGTAAGCACTATCGCAAAAATGTTAATATTAAAATCGGATTTCGGTATTCGGAATCGGCTGGGGTCACTTGGAGAAAAAGTGCATTGCGCACAGCGCACAACGTGAATGACGCTAGGAGTACAGTAACCCAGCGATGTAAAAGTTGAAAATACTATAGCTTCAATATTTTTTTTCTCGAAAACTATAAGGATTCTATATTGATATCTCTTGAATTTTATACAGGACTATACAACGTCTTTTTGCTGATTTAATGTAACTGTGTATTGTACTGTGTGCAAAATTTGGTTTAAATATCTTAGAAAAATTGAAAATAAAATAATATTTTTTTTATTACAATTCATGTTGTATCTTTTTTGTTAACGGTTTCCGGATATTTTTTCTATGAATTTTTTTACTTAAAATTAATTAATTCTTCCACTATCTGTTTCATTTAAGGTACTTGAAACGAGATAGATAGAAAGCATTTTTGTTTGAAAAATTAATTTTTATACAGATGCTATGGCAATGTTAAAGATAAATATTACACATTATTATTATACACAGGTTGAAAGTGTTTACATTTCCTAATTCCCAAAGTAAAATATACTGGGTGTCCCATTCAAAATAACCAAGTTATTGCTGTTTAAAATTGGGAAAAGTATCCAGCAGTTTTTTTGAATACCCTGTATAATACTAAGTGACGATAGATATAATAATTTATAACTTCAAGGATCTAAAATACACTCTCTAAAGCTGCTTCCTTAAAACTATTTTTTTATTGCTAATATTAAATTTCTACGCTAAGCTTACATTTTCACTAAAATTGATATATCTCATAAACCATAAGTATGCAGAACCTTTAATAAAGTTCTCTCAAAAATGCAATAGAATACAAAGTGTTCTATTTAAAAATGCGTAACTTTGATATGGTACGCTTTTGCAGAACACCCTTTACATTCCAAAATATTTTTAAAATGTAGCCGTAATCAACCTACACATACCCTCGTAAACAGGTTTCTATAACATTTGCCGTTTGGTCCCCTAGAGACCGAGGCGTTACTGGTGGCCCACCCTGTATATAAAAATGATACGGGAAAGTTTATTTTCCCGGCCTAGTCCGGAAAAGTAACTTTTCCGTACTATTTGCTGATGGTTACTTAGCAACGAACTAAAATACAAGAATACGGCATTTTTTTTTGTATGAGATTGATCCGAAAATGTCCGAACGGTTGCAGAAAAATTATTTTTAATTATTCAATCACTGTCCCTATTCTAAAACTGTATTTTCAATTTGATAAAGAAACAGAGAGGACATGTTGCACATCAAGAACATAAATATTCCTCTAAACAAACACAAGACATTCAAGCCAGATGCATCACCGGTCTATTCCATCGAACCTGTAATATATTCCTCCAGACAGAGGACCTCTCGTCATTGACGATATAAACCTCAGATCCCATCTCAATCCTTGAAGGATTTGCCGCCGCACAAAGCGCCGCACTCCAGCAAGACGTCTAGCTGTCTGCGTCGCCACGTTGGAGACCTGTCCACAGCAGTAGTCCTCGCAAAGATAAACCATTGAATCCTGCGCGCCCAGGATAATTGCGGATAATTAAATCAGAGAAGTAATTAGGAGACGATGTTAATGCGCGACTATCCGTCAGAGCGAATACACCTGTCGTGGGGTTAAATAGTGACCCAGTTGCGAGCCGTCGTCGTGATCCGTCCCCGCGAGAATGTGGAGATGACGCATGCCTTTCGAATAACGGGTTTGATGTCGTTATTGTGCCACGGTGTCACGTGCTCTGATTTATATAAGGGGTTATTATGCACAACAGCGTCCCGAAGCGCCGCTCGTTGTAACTGAACCATCGGCTTGGAGGGATAAGTGGGTGATTTTCTATAATTTGAGGCATGTGTACCGAGGGCACTCCCACTGATTGAAAGAGGCGACATTGTTGAATATAGGAAGGATAGAAGGGTTTGGTTTCAGTTCTTCTACTTGTGTAGAAGAAGGTGGGCCTTTTGCTACGAATAAAGAACAT